TCATGGCACCTTCTAGCGTTATTAATTTACCAGAACTATTAGAACAGATTTTACATTTTTTAGCGATAGATAAATCTCTCTATCCCACTCTATATGTATCCCGATTGTGGTACAGATGCGGTGCTCCCATTTTATGGAGACACATCGAGCTAAAGGGAGAGGAAGCAGAGAATCGAACTCGATTAGAAAGGTTTTTAAAAATAGTACCCGGAGGAGAAAGAAAGCCAGTTTATAGCTCGAAACTAACTCATCTTAAAATAACACACTACCGTCCGCTTACAAATAGGAAAATCAAAGGCATTGTGCATACTTTCCAAAATATAATTCATTTAGACTTTGAAAAAAGTATAGATCCTACTGGTAAAACTCTAAAGCTAATAGCGAAATCGTACCCAAATTTGGAGTATTTTAATATATCTGATTTACACAAAGGATTTCAGCCAAATAATGATATAGGTCTAATTGCAATCGCACAATCATGCCACAAACTAGAATATCTAAATATCTCTAATCGTATAGAGTTTTCTGAAATATCAATTTGTAATGTTATTCATTCTTGCCCAAGGCTTCAACAACTTGATCTTAGCTATTGTAGAATTACTGATAAAACTATTGAAGAAATTGCTAGATCATGTCTCAATTTAAAATATCTTAATCTGAGAGGGTGTTATATAGTGGGATATCCTACTTATATAATTAGCAAAGAAGCCATAGATCAGCTCGTTTCACTTAATCCAAATATCCACATAGAGAATTTCGAGGAAACTTTAACACCTCCCGATCTCATTGGAGCAGTTATAAATCATCTTACACAGAATAACGTTGCTAGTAGACATACTTTAGGTCGGGGCCTTCAGCGCCTCTTAGATTTAAATATGCAAGATAATTTGCAGTGGTATTCCGATCCAGGGTTGGCTAGATCAATACTCCGGAGCGATGATCATTAGCTTGGAAGATTTTTGCTAGGTCACAATCATTAAGTCAGTTATTTTTTACTTTGCTATAATAAATTAGATATATTAACATAACTATAACACAGACCATGGGCAATATAGCACAAGTCGATCAATCCGATATAGAAAAGGTAAATAAAGTAGCATTTCCATTACAATTTGATAGCTCTGTAAGCGAATACATTAAAATGGTAAAGATACATGCTATTGGTATTGGCAAGGATTTAGATGATATAGTCATAAAAGTGAAATTCATTAGTGGATTATCACCTGACAATGAAAAGCGTGTGCATGAGTTTGGGGTTAAAAAACCTTTGTCCGAAATATTCGAACATTTACTTAAGCCTTCTTGTCCAGAATACTGATCATCAACCGGAGCGGTGATCACCAGCTCGGAGCGACAAAAATAGGCTGATCACATAATAGGTCTGTGCGACATTAATTTCGCATATATATATTCGCTAACCAGTACCTTTTTTTCCCAAACAAATGTGAGAAAAATGTGAAAGGAGGTCTAGTTGCAACACAGGACCTTCCCCATAAGTAAATAGTGTCGTCAAAAGCATATGTTATGAAAGGCTGAGGGAGTCACAATTTCGAGATCGTCAGGCGTAAAACCAACTATGTCTTTCCGGTAGATCTACATGTGAAAAGGTATGAGGATTCCGTTTACATGTGCTTTCAAGGGACTCTTGGCATCAGACAACAATACTAATTACGCCTTATAGCTCCTTAACATTTTCCCAGCAAGATATAAAGCATGTAGGGGTATGTGGAAGTTCAGCAACTTTCCGCAAAAAACTTTCCCAGAGAAAATAGTTTTACTAGCGTAGCTAACGCAAAATAAGGTATGTATATGCCCTAAATTATGTATGTATGGGGACGAGTTTTCTCACTATGGGCTCTTGTATTTTAGAAAACGAAATATGGCCAATATTATTGACTTCAGGTTTAAACTCCACGATAAATCGGATGACGAAATCTTCATAATCAAAATAGCCTGGCAAACATTGGTCAAAGACGCCATACCCACTATTAAAGAAAAAATGGCAACACGAAATGAGCAGGTTCCTGATGAGATTAAGCTTTACGTGGATAACCCAAAAGAGCTGACGACAGAGTTGAAACCAGATGATATGATTTCTAAGCATTTTAATATCGATCACATTGAAGAGGGTCTCATCCTCATATTTCCGGTCCAAAAGCCCAAAGTATCCAATCCAAAAACCACCAGTAGTTAGATTTTTTTATCTATATTTTCTGTATCATGTAATAGCGATATAGAAGCAATTATTATGTATTGTAGGCCAGCTTGGTCCCTTTAGGACCCTTCCGCCAATATTTTTTTATTTCATAAATAAAGTATTATTATTTTATCGAACGTATATGAGAAAGGGTCACGTGAAATGATGCAATACCTGTGCTACATAAAAACCTATATTAATGCCCAGTATTCTCTTTCCCGAACATAAATAAATTTTATCTCACTCCGGAAAGTAACACTATTCTTTTGTCCGAGCCTAATAACCCTATAAAAGCGCTATGTCAACTATCACTCTCAGTTGTTTAGTCGTGGGTGAAAACCCTTATGAAAATGCTTTCCCAGTTGATATTGATACTAACAAAGTTAAGACTATTGGGCATCTCAAGGACGCTATCAAGGAGAAGCTTCACCCAAAGTTTGAGAACGTAACTGCAAACGATATTAAGCTATGGAAGGTCGACATTTCCCTCGAAAAAGAAAACAAGAAACTTGAGCTCGTCAACACAAAAATTAACGTTAATATTAAGAACGAGCTTGGTGGTGAGGAACTTCCACCGCTTTCGAAGATTAGCAAACACTTTCCCTCCCAGCCAGCCGACGAGCACATACATATCATCGTACAACGTCCTGTTGAAACGAAAGAAGTTCACTGCACCGCAAC